GCTGTTAAAATTAGCAACTACAACATAAAAAAATATCAAATAATTTAAAAATAATATGGTAAATGAAAATTTAAAACCAATAATAGAAAATAAACCTTTTGAGATAGTTCAAGAATTAAAAGACGAGTATAAAATTCCTAGTTATGAGGAATTTGTGAAAGGTTATGAGAATGATGGCAATCTTAATTATGGTGATTTAAGTGGTGGTAGTGTTGGAGAAGTGAAAGGATATGGGCCTTGTGATTGAGATAATAAAAATTGCGAATGTTATATAAGTGCAGAGGAGGGTCGCTATGTTCCTTTGTATTTAGTTTGTCCTGCACCAAGAGATAGATGACCTTGATGCACAAACAAAACTCCTAGTCAGTGATATCATGCCACTAATAATTGTGGTGGTCGTCGGTATATTAATACTAGCCTTATGCTTAAATGCATGAAGTGTAAACGCGTTAATCATGTAACTAAGTCTAATTTCAAATGTTCTACTCATAAAGATGATATAAATGATGGATATGCAGGAGTAAGCAAAAGTGAATTTGGAAGTGCCTTGGTTGGTTTAAATAACCTTTGGAAGGATAAGTCCCCCACAGTTAAAAGATATGTAGAAAAAATGATAGATAAACAATTAGAGGAGGAAGGATTTGATTACGAATAAAAATAATAGTTATTTAAAAACATAATATAAAAATAAAAAATTTAAAGAAAATATGGCATACAGAAATAATAAATGAGGTGGATATATTCAACAAAACGAAAACGAAAAAAAGCAGTTATTAATACAGAAACAAAAATCGCTTCACAAAATGAAAGTAGCACTTGACACTTTTTATAATGTATTAGAACCTTTGGAAGAATATATTGAAAAATCAGGGAATTATCCTGGATTTATCGCCAAAAGGCAAATATATAGAAAGAGCATTCAAGATAGCGAAGGTTCGTTGGAAAATGATGAGGACTTGTTTTTATCAGATTTGTATATCTTTGCAAGAACATTTCATGGAAAACCTGAATTTTTTATGAAAGTGATACAAGAGGATTTTTACAAATGGATAAATGCGGTGGGAATTACTGCTGAAAATACTTCCGAGGAATTAAAACACTTTTTAATTGAGATAAACAATGTTCTCGAAGGTAATGATGAAAAAATTGTTAAGGAAACTCGCGAGAAAATTAAAAATATAGAGGTTGACCCAAAAGAAACGGTTGGAATATTTGCTGGACTCCAAAATCCTTTAAATAAAAATAGACAGCAAAGGAAAGAACTAGAAGGTAAAAAGTGAAATGAAATTTCGGAGGAGGATAGACTTAAAGGTGATGCTGATTTAGGAAAACAGACT